GCTTGCTGCGAAGTGGTAATACCTCCAGGAGTTGTTGAAGAACGATCGAACCCAACGACGAAATCTCATGCCCCTGAGCTCCCATGCAAAAAGTGTCTTTTTCGCCTGACAGCGGACGAGCCATCAGTGGCGGTCCTTGCCCCTCAACGACTTCAAAGCGCGGAGGGCATGGTGGAAAATTGGTTGAAGCGGCTCTCCACGAGGGAGCCTCATCGGCTGACCGATCTACTCCGGCCGCCGGCATGTCCAACTCGCCATCCAACGGGGGACCCCGCTCACGCCCAGGCACCTCGCTCTGGTCCCATGAGCTGCCCTCATAGCCATCATAGTTTCACCCAATGCTAGCTCCCGCCTACAGGAGCTCACTTCGAAGCCGTCTCCTCCTTCTGCCGACCTTTGTCCTTGCCACTTGACTTCCCCTTGCCCTTTGGCTTGGAATCCTCCTTGCCCTTGCTGGAGTTCTTTCCCTTCGGGCGCCCATCTGGAAGTGCGGCCAACTGCCGGGTCTTCGACTCTTCGTAGGCAGCACGTTGAGCGGTCACCATCTCCTCTCTCCCTGCCATGGCCAGGGAGTCGGTCGGTGCAACTTCTAAGCGCTGCGCGACGCTCCAATGCGCCCCTAGCAGCACAGACTCTATTGCCTTCATTCGTTGGAGAAGTGTGTCGCATGCTCGAGCCGGGCGCCCCCCTCAATAGATGATCTATCGAGAGAGCCAGCGTCAACAACTCTCGCAGAACCGGCCCACTGGCCTTGCGGGCCAACTGTTGACGATGGTACATCAATGCAATCGGCTTCAACTCTCCCTTCGTGTTCTCGGCGCCGATCTCCTGCAACAAGCTTCCCTTCATAGAGGCCAGAGCCTGTGCGCTCAAGGCCCCCGGACACAGGTCTGCAACCCGCTGAACCCGGTTCTCCCCTTCGAACAACGCTGTCTCCATCTCCTCCAGGCCGCTGGGAGAGTCGTCGGTCGAGCTGCTCCGGGAGTTGGACGATGATTTGTCCTTGGATTTCTTTTTCACTGCTTTCTTTGCGAGGCGCATCACACGCCGCCGAACCCTCTCGCAAGGGTCCAGTCCCGTGCCACTGAAGAGGGCTTCTGGGGTGTTCGTTGCCGCTCCCCGGGGCCTCTTCCCGTTGAGCTGTACTGAACGACTGCTCGAGCTCGATGTCGATGTGGCCTTCTTCACCTTCTCCTCCTTTGAGGTCCTGCCTTTCTCTGCAGCTCGAGACGGGCTCCTCGACCGATGCTTCTTTTTCATTTTGTCCTTCTTGCTCTTCTTGGACCTCTTCCCCCGGCTGTGGCTTTTCTCCTTCTTCTTTTCTTTTTCTCTTTTTTCTCCTTTGTCTGACCGCCCGGGCACCGCCGGACGATCTAGATCTTCTCCTCGAGCCCTCAAAGCCGCTAGCTCGTCCTCTGCTGGTTCGACTTTCTCCAAGTTTCTTGTCCAGCCTTCTTCGCCTTCCTCCCTCACAAGCTTGCGGATCTTCTTCACATGGATGAGGTCCTCCGATGTCCGATCCCCAGTGCAAGCCTCCTCGCACCGGCGCACACGCCGCTCCATGTCGGGGTGACCGGAGTGATGACGTAGAAGGCTCTCCGAGGTTGTTCCTGTCAACTGCAGAGTGTAGTGGATTCCCGTGTCTTGAACGTCCACCCCACGGGTCCTCCCTGCGACCTGGCAGGCCGCACCGAAGTATGAGGCCTCTGGACACACCACCCTGGTCCCCACTGTCAACTCCTCGACTCCTAGACTCCTAGCCGATTCAGCTGAGCAATCTCTCCCCTGCGCCACAGCTCCCGGTCCCCAGGAGCTGGATCGACTGGTCCTCCATGGGCTGGTCGACGCAATGCACCTCTCCTCTTTGGCGCCGCTCTCATCGCTCTCACTTTTGCCTTGGCCTTGGCCTTCGGCGGCATTGCTTCTAATAGCGGCGGTGAGGCCAAAAGCGGCCTTGTTCACGATGTTTGACTCCCTTCGTTCCCCGTCTGCGGGGTTCTGCCTCCCTTCTCCTCGGCGATCTTGTCCTTGGTCTCCTCCACTCACCTCGCTCCCGAGATGATGAACCAGCCTCGTAATGAGGCGGGGGGTGATCTGGCTCAGATGGGTACCTAGGAGCGGGCGGTGGTGGCGGCAATGGTGGCTTGAAATGTTTGGCGACCGTTCCCCAAACAGCCGGCCGTAGTCCGTATCGTGCAGGATCTCGCTCAAGATCCTGTGGGGTGGGGTCGGAACCCCTGGCAAGTGAGTTCTTTGCAAGGATGGGCCTCGCTTCCTGCTCAACTGCTACTGCTTTGGGCTCGTCCTCCTTTTTCTTTTTCTTCTCTCTGCGAGGCTTCTTGCCTTCCTTCTTTGTACCTGTAGTCGACCTGTGCTTCCTTCTTCTCTTGGGCTTCTCTTCAGGATGCTCCTTCTTGTCCTTCTCAAGCACACCTGGAGCAGGGACTGTCACCAAGGGCTCCTTCTCCACCTGCTGATTGGCCTGGTCCTCCTTCTTCACTTCAATCGGCTTCTCGTTCTCCTCTTTCTCGCAACTCTTAGGGGCCAAAGGCTCCCCGTCAACTGCCTCCTTCGACTCACCTGTAGGCCCACTCTCACGAAGCTCCCTGGCCGACACAGGAGCTGCCTCCTCCGCAAGATCGGTGAGCGCTCCCGCACAGTTGCGGAGAACCGAGACAACCGAGTTCTCCTGCTGTCTCAGGAGGAGATTGCCCTCGATCAGCTCCTTGATCCGGCGCAGTGTCCTGCACACCTGACAAGTCGGTGCCCCGTCGAAGAGGTGACAGGCACTGCACCGCATGAACCTCCTGTAAGCCGAAAAGCTAAGGGACCAGAAAACGTGTCAAGGTTCTTAACCCACGGGGGCGTAGGTACATATGGTACCCAAAAAACTAAGGTCCAAAAGGCCGCCAAAAATAGACACAAAATATTGCAAATACCAGCAAAAGTCAGGTGAACATAGGTTTATTTTTTTGGGGGGGTGGGGGGTACCATATAAATCTCCTTGTGCGTGTGCGCATACATATACATATACACGCATGTATAAGTGTATATGTATATATGCATAAACCTTATATAACCATAAATGCATGTGTATACATTATACATACAGATATGTTATACAATGGACTCTTGACATTTATATATATATATATAGATACATTTGACGACCAGGTCACGTGCCTGGAAATTTCATGCAAGACACTGCTCGTCAGTTGTTCCAAAATCAAAGCCCCGAACAAAGACTCTGCACCGGCTGGACTTCCTTGGCCAAACAGGAGCGCGTTGCGATGGACCAAACGCAGCATGTTGGTGCACAACAGTCTATTGCGGTCGTCGATGGTCGATTGTTTGAGACGATTCAATCGCGACGTAGGGTGGTTCTCTGACCAAGCCCAGCTGCGGATCCTCATCCACCTTCACCTCCTTGGCCGAGTGGAGCTGAACCGGTTCCGGACCGACCTCACCTTCAAAAGTCGGATCAAACTCGTCTCAGCGAATTTGCAGCTTAGCATTCTGACATCTGACGCCAAACAGCAGGCATACAAGCCCTAACGGTTTCCGATGCGAATCCCTGGCTCCCTGGCCCATGAAAACTGCGATCGGAACGGAAAAGCGAACTTGAGGGTCTCAAGCCTTGAATCTCACCCCTTGGAACGTAAAACAGCAAATACATGCAACATGTTGGAATACCAAACAATGTTTGGGGAGGGACTGGTTTGAATATATAACTCATTCCAACATCTTCCAACCACCAACCAGTTCCTCCCCGGCCCTGTCTCACCCAAAAATGGGACCCCCCTGCCCCACATCCTATCCCTGCCACTCTGCAGGAAGGACTCCACAAAGCGACTATTCCCGGAGATAATGCTCCGATCCAATTTCACAGCAGCTTGTGCCGACTCAGAACTGTCGTAGGTGACCACCGCTGCTCCTGAAGAGGTTTCAAATGGAGAACTGAGGTCCAAAGCACTCAGCCCAATGAAGCCAACACATGTCAACTATACAGCTTTTATCACTTGATCGGAGTGGTTTCTATATACATGCCTACTAAACTCGAATACTTGTAAGTGTTGCAATTATTAATGAGATTTGAAGCTTGCTTCGTTCATCTGAACTTTACTCTAGCTGATCATCTTCCAATTCTCACCCCGACGACTTGTCGCCACCCTGGTTGCCCGGCCTTTGCCCCAAAGTTCCACCGTGGCCACCGGCCCAGCCTACAGTGAGAAAGAGCACCAGCGAGAAAACTCTGACTGACTGAGAGTACCAGCTTGGACATCAGGCCATTTGCATCAAGAACTGCTGAGACTGAGAGAACTCTCAACCGAGGATCGCATAGTTCGGCATAGCCCCTTGACTTTCCGTTGAGATGCGGACCTTCATTCCCCCCGCGCCTGTTCAAAATGCGCCTTTATGGCATCTTCGGATGTGCCATAATCAAAGCCGCGGACGAAGACCCTTTCAGACATGGCCTGTCAAGAATTCTGCAGGCGCAACGCAACGTCAAGTCAAGTTTAAGCCTACGATTCTGCTACGAACAAAGGATCCAAGTCATTGCAGAAACTGACATCCTCAGCTGTAGCATGAGGCTGGCTCTGCGTTGCGTCTCATCAACGTCCCAGCGTTCACCAGGGCCGACCTTCTCAAGAACTGCGGTCAGAGTCTAAGGCAGTGAGGGCCTCACCGACTGTGCCGCAGGCTGCGGAATCTTGAGCCGCAACGCTGGCGGTTCCGCATAAAAGCGTTAGGTGATGGGCTCAGCGACAACCAGGTGACACCCACAAAGTCTCACTATTAAAATGATCATAATCTGAGAGATGGAGACAAACCGGGACACAAAACGAGACAACAGCGATCAAAGGTGGTCACCGTCACCTGGTGAATCCTGATGACCCCTCCCAGTGGTTTTTCGGGGAAATGTGTGGGCTTTTACCGGGCCAACATGCCCAAGCTGTGTAAAACATACCTCCTTGTGGTCCTTATGGCTTGTCTTGCGCCTCATCTGCCGGCCCAGTGCGTCAGCTGTATCACTGCATCGTCATGGCTTGTCTTGCAAGCGTCAGCTGTGTCATTGCGCGAGCTTTCAGTTTGCTCCCTTCAGCTGACTCAATGCACTGAAGGTGTTTTTCGTCCAGAAAGATGGCGATTTACTCTTGTGTTGAAGTGTTCCACTCGAACTTCAGCCACATGTTGCAAAAGTGATTCTCTCTTTGATGAATTTGCATGGCTTGGATGATGGATACTGTGATAGTGTGTGACAAATCTCCCATGATTGTAGCCTATCCTGTTGCGCACGCGCTGCTTGGCTGTCACTCCGTGATTCAAGGCACTGCTACGGCTCAAGCCGGACACTTTGGTAATGAATGAACGATTGATCAAACAGTCAGAAGGCTAGCCACAAAGTGCCAGAGAAAGTCGAAATTTGCTCGCTCCGGCCTTCCTCGGTGACTGTTGCTCAAAAAACACCCCATGTTGAGACATTCCTATAGACGGCACAGGCCTATGGCCCTCACCACACTTAAACTGGCGAGCCTTTTTCTCCACTTCTCTTCAATGACCTGTTGGATCAAAGAAGCCCTGAGCTCTATTCAAATTCGACTTCAGACCGCTCATGCCACTGAACCGACTAAGCTCGACACGTCGTGTCTGAACCAACAAATGGAGTAATTACAACCTGAATACAACACAGTGAACCGACGCATAGGGACATTTGATGACATGGTGGGATCCAACACCATTCTTGCAGTGAAGTCTGGAGGCAACTCCTGCACATGATTTTGTACACATGCAAGCTGCGTGTCTGGTGCCCGCACTTGATCGAAAGCCTCTCTCTCTGGAGAAGTTTTCGTGGCATAAATAGGAAATTTTGAGTGCCGTTCGGCAGCTCAAATGATGGATATTGGTATGAAATTAGCGGAGCTGCCCTTGCACTGGTGCGAATTTCAAATGACTCACTGTCAGATTGGGAAGCACGGGCATGACAGGCTAACCGGCTAACCTGGACCCTGGACATAGCCTCTACAACAAGCAACAATGACAGAAAGTTCCTGTTGATGATTTAGTTTGGTATTAAGATGTTTTAAATGAACCTCATAGATTTGCGTAGCTGTTTTGCCACTACGTCATGCCCTCGGCGCATGCCGTGCAGCCTTCCATTTCACACAGTGCACTGTTCGGCCGGGCGGTGTCCGGTGTCGACAATGGCCTCGGGATTGGGCCAATGAATTGGCGGCCAATGATATCCTGCCTGATGGTCGTTGTGGAAGGCTCTGCAAAGTCTGATTTGGCTGTGAGTCATAGCATCTCCCTCACCAAAAACATGGCAGGTTGACACCCCTTAATCTGCGTGCGGCCAGTCGTACATAAGACCCCAACATGCAGCTGAGTCGCTACTTCTTGGTCATCGACTCGGAGCCATCCCAGTCCAGTGGCGGTGGCTCGCGGATGAACTTATCCTTGGAAGGTCTCACATCTCAACAGGGACCGGGCTGGAAAGAACTGTGAAGCATCGGGACATTGGGGCATCTATATGCTGAGGTGACACATTACTAACCCTCACTCTGTTAATCTCTGTCGCGCATTCAGGTACGTGCACATCGTACCTTTTGTATTGGTTCATCTAGCGTCTTCTTGTAAAGAAACTGCAACAACTTTGAGTTGCTCTGCTTTTTCTGATGCCTGCCACTGCCAATTTCGGTCAAGAATCAAACAGAAAATGAGTGGGTGTATCAAATAGAACATACTGTGGTAATAGAACTATTGCAGGACGTGATAAAAACTGCTTAAACAATTCAATAGTTGTCACACAGTTCAACAAGAAGAAATGCAAAGTGTGTCATTGCCAGTGGTCCTCCTTTACTCTAGTTTGTTGACGTGTGTTGTCTAGTTTTGCCTTTGGGATTTGTTGATCTTCTAATTGAAAATTGTTTGGGCAGCCTTCCAGGTTCATTTCAAGAAGAATATGGGTACTCCGGAGTATTCCAATTTCTTCCTAAAAAATGTATATTATACAGATCGACTATAGTCCTTTTTATCGAGAGGGACATGACGCCTCCGTTCCAGAGCGCGACTTCCACCAATCCACCAAGAGAGGGTTCCCCCTCGACGTTCCTATACCGAAGAAACAGTTGTAGTTGTCGCTTTTGAAGTAACTGATTGACGGGCATCGAAGTAACTGACACCTCTACCCATAGATGTTTATAGTAGCTTTCAGATGCTTTCAGGGATATCCTGAGGTCGGAAAACAAACAAAGGGGTTGACTTGCATCAAGAAATGACCCGCTTGTAGTTTACAAACGCGTTACTATCTACCAATGAAAAACATCCCCCTAGCCAATATATATTGGCTTCGGCCTCGCAAAAGCAACATAGCCTCGAAGCCTTTGCATTGGACGGCGCAGCCTGCTAGTATTCACCATTGGACGTGTGAGCTAGTGCTGTGTTTTTGTAAAAAATCAGATTTTGTGGTAGGCCAGGAAAAGGAATATGTGCAGATTTCGTGGTGAGCGGCTCCCCCCCAATAGCACACACAGCACCAAGTAACGCAAGGAAAGTACAAAACCCACAGAAGCAACCAAAGCCAAGAACAGAACAACAGTTGTGGGAAAAGCATAGAACGCCGAAGCAAAAGAACAAGCCAGACTCAAGGCTTGAAAAGCCGGACCGCATCAAATGTCATAATTAGAAAGCAAACGTAAAAGGGCGAAAGAAATCACAGAGAAGCAATGAAAAGGAATTGAAAAGCAATGAAAATGAAAAGCAAGAAACACAACCAGAAGCAGGAAGGCAAAATAAGCAAAACAAACCCCTAAAAAATCCAAACCCAAAAGAATAGCCCTCCTTGAGTCAGGAAAGAAAAATGGCCCCAGCTGCGTCGTCGTCATGCTATATCAGGCCACATTGCTTCAAAGTGGATTCAGACTCGTCATTCACCAAACACTGATCAGTCACTCCCGCATAAAACAGTCCAGAGATCACATAGATCAAGCAAATGTTTTGAAGGAATATCATCGGCTTTGTCATCATCAACGCTGCTTGAGCGCCCACGGAGGCTGCGGCAGACCTAGCAGGCGCTAGAAATGCGCCTCCAAATGTTGTTTGTGAGTTTGTTGGTTTGAGGAGCAGCTAGGGAGCTTGAAATCAACCTTGGTCCTGGCATGACCTACGCCAAGACTGCCCATTTGCATTGCCATTTCGGTGAGTAGAATAGAACTTCCAAATGCCAAGAATCATTGGGACAAACGAACCAAAGAAAGCTGCTACTGCTAAGCCGTGTCAATATTATTTGAAAGGGCTACGGACTGGACTACAAAAAGATACTGTTGCAAAGCCTTCCCAACTCCCAACCTCAGCCAGCAACGGCCGTGCTTCACCAAAACGTCTGTCCATAAAGAGCTCGAAAGCCCGCCTGGGCCACTTTTTCTTTTTTCGATCGTAGAATGGGCCCTGACTACAAGCTGCTCGTTTGAATGCTAGAGGTTCTCAAGTAGAAAGCAACTCACTGATAGGAGATCGGATAGGTGGGCAGTGACCTGTGAAAAAAATGTGTGTGTGAATGCAGTGACGAAAGTCAGAGAGACGTGTTTGATTGTGTTTGCGGTCCCTTCTACGCTGTAATTGAACATCCATGCCTGCTGCATCTCCGTTGTTCGACGTGTTAGGCTTGATTCCCAGCCAACAGAACACACATTAGACGATTCTTGCAAGTCACGACTTTCACTTTGGCCAGTTCGGCACGGAACGTTCGTTCCATTGCGGTGAATTCCATTGAATTCCTCCCTCCACTCCAAGCCTCGCCTGTGAGCGTCGTAGGTTTTCGCCAAGGTCTGTTGTGCTGCGCATCGCCGGGCACACACCTCCCAGACCTGGCCAGCCAGACGAGCGTTGCTGTGAGAGTGAGAACGATGGAGCGCAACTTCGAACCGCAACTCGCAGATTGGCGATTGTGGATGATTGTGGCCCCCCATGCTGCTCGTGCTAATCTGGTCCACAAAGCTCCTGCCTTGGTGGGCGATTTGCGGCCCTTGAGCACCAGATTGCCCACAGGTCTGGCCACATAGCTCTTGTGCAGATCATCTGCCTCCACATCGATCAAAGGATTTGGAAGATTGGAAAAGCTCGATATATATATATATATATGTGTGTGTGTACTTCTCACTTATCACTCACACTGCTCAGATAAAAAAAATAGAATTGTTATCCGGGCTTGGGCCTCTCAAGCTGATGCTTCCATGTTTTCATGTGTTTTCCAAGGAGCTCCCGCACCACTCAGTCTATTTTACGCAGTTTTGCATCATGCAGGAATCGAATAATTAGGCACGAAGAATTCACGTTTGCACTGCCCTGGCCTCTTCTAAACTTTCATCCGACACAAGGCAGCAAGTGCGGAAGTGGGAGTTCAAACTCTTGAGGCGCGCTGCAACATTGACACTGTCCCCCAGGACGCCATACCTCATGGCATAAGGCGAGGCACATGCAGAAGGTTTTTTGCACAGCGACTCCTGGACTCCAGATGATTTCAATCTATGAAGGAGTGCTTTGAACGACCCGCTTTGATGCCCACAACTGTGGGTCTGAAAACTGAGCAGCTCGAGCAACATGAAATAGCCACACACACACAAGAACCATATGACAGCAATTGTCCCATGTGTTTGTTGCTTATGTCCACGAATTCATCAGCCAAGCTACTTGATCCTCGTTTGAGACCCGATATTGCCGACTAGGACCTTTCCAGAATGTACCCCACATCGCATCCGGACGCCCAGCCGGCCAGCCCGCTCCAGGACGTCCTTAGGATCAGTAACATCTGAAAGTTGGGACCTCTTTTGGGACAAACACGGTCATTCCAAAAGGACTCCGAATAGAAAGTGTCAAAAAAAAGATTCACTGCATGTGTTCCTTCTGCATCTGAACATCAGTTGACACATCCGCATACATTGCTCCCTCACACCACCTCACACCTCTAACTGCCTCCAACTCTTACAGAGACGGCAACATACGGCAACCATATGGTCTATTCAAGCGCAACATGCGCAATCTTTGTCGAACCAAAAGTCCGTGGCCGACGCCACTGCATGCTCTTCGTGGTCATCCACCTCATTCGGAGCATTGAACACCGCCAGCACCTGGCTACGCTGCGAAGATCTATAGTACAAATGTGGGTCCGGTCCGGCTCCAAAAACACGGAGAGGAAAAACACTTATCATTTTTGGGCATACTCAGACAGCAATGCAATCGGCAGTAACCCAAAACCAGACAAATCTGCCTCGTCCCCCACGAACTCCAGCAGCGTGCCGGCTTGAGCTTCGATGGCGTTGGACACCTGAAATCGTGCAAAGGTAAAGCGGCTAAAGCCATCAGCCGCACTATTGAAGAGCCATCGCTATTCGGTAACAGGCTGAACCGTGATACTACTGTAATGCTTTGAGGAGCAACAAGTTGTGGGGGCCCTTGGACTTGGTCCCATGTCCATGTTTGAACTGCTATCACTCTGCCCCGGTCTTATTCCGAAAACTACAGTATCTTGAGATGCCAGTCGAACTGCACAAATCCCCAACCCCCCCACCGACTCCAGCCTCTCCATGAACCAAACTGAGAATCGCCAAGACTTCTTTGGGTGTGCTCTCGCGGCACATTTCCTTGAAGCGATCAATGTCACCTGCAGTTGACAGTTGACATTGCCAGCGCCAACTGTCTTACTGGAAAGACGCATAGCTAGGGCAGATGGATCTCAACTTCCACAAGGTGTGTAGAATACACGGGCAATGCCAAAGCAATGTTTATCTGGTCAATTTCACGTGTGAGCTCCAACGCATCGGCTGCATGCCAAGGAGCAAAAAAAGATACTGACTTCATTTGGGTTCAAGCCGACCCTTGCCTCCAATGCATGCGAGATGGGAAATGAATTACGTTCGAAGAAGTCCATTTTGTTGCAGCTTCTTGTTACTACTAGTAAGGCACTTGTTACTACTAGCGATGCACCTGTTACTAATAGCGTTCTTGCTACTAATGAAGTGACAAGCTTCAGCCTTTCAGCCCCTGCCTCAATACCATGTCTGTACCTGCAGTTTCAGTCCAAATGTGGAAGGCCACCCGTGCGCGTGCACACACCCAAAATGGCCTTTGCAAACGATGTACTATAATTAGAGCTCCTCACTTTCCGCGCATCAAGGGCCTGCAAAACCTGTAGTGATGTGATACGAAACAGATACGCCTGTTCTAGGCTGATGTGTTGCTCTATCGGTGCTTGACTTAGCTGAAGCTTCGTTGCACTCGCAGATTGGCATTTTCACAGCACATCATCCAGCAAAACTAGGACTCTTAAAGCTGAGAAGATATATATATATATATACAGTAAACGAAATATACTACGAAATATGTATACATAGAATTGACACATAATTATACTTTAAGCCAAGCTTTTTGTCTATGCAGGTGCCAAATGCCGGGTGCGGGATGCCGGATGCCCTGAGTCCAAGCCTGAAGAAACCCGAAAGAAGTGAAACCCTCGGCAGGCCAACGAAGCCGCGGGCCGAAATTGGTTTCTGGACGGGACAGGATGCCAAAGACCGGGCGAATACTGGGTGCCGGATGCCGGTGCCGGAATTTACAAAACAAAAAGAAAACACAAATTGTGCGTCAATTCCTTGAAGTCCAATGTTGGTGGAAACATCCTATAACCTCCAGCTGTTTGCGAACAGCGCGTAGACACAAACAACTGCATCACTGTTGTATCCATAGTCGCCCACAGCACACAAAAAAAGAAACATGGTCAAGCAGGGCTTATCAGGCCCGGACAGGGCGTTGATAAGAGGGCCGGACAGGGCGTTGGACAAGCAGGACAAACAAACCTGGACAAGGCCTGAAGCAGGGCCCACGGCACGGCCAAGCCGAACACACAGACCCTGAGAAGGACTGGACCAGCCCCGCCCACAGCGTGCTAAGCAGGACACACAAACACAAGGCCCAGGCAAAGCTGTGAAGAAAGGCCAGCCCATTTTTGTCCTAAGAGAGAACGCCAACGGTATATAATTTGTTGGGGCAACATGGGGCAACTATATTGAATATATTGAATGTAATTAATTACGACTAAGCCGCTACATGAGCTAGGCTATGGCTGTCCATCTGCCCATGCACAGACTCGCCCAGTGTTTGATGCACGGACTCGCCCAGTGAGTTTGACACATTTGACATGAACTCCTCTTCCATCCTGGAGACACATCTGTGCATTGTGCGTTAAGTTGAGAAAAACATTGTAAAATATTGTAAAATTGCAATAAGTTCAGGCGTCTTATGGCATTTTTGTGGTTGGGCCCCTTGTGTTGGCGGTGGTCAGAGGTTGATCCTTTTCTTGAACCCTTGGAAAGAATCGTGGCATCATGTGAGTCAAAGGCAGAAGCCCTCTCGATGCATCCAATGAGGTTGACGAACCAAGGCCGCAACAAATCAATAGTCAAGACGAGCCACAAGGATTTCAGCAAGTATGGCGGCACATATTTGGCCCAATTCCGCAATGCTGCGCGCATGGTGGAGAGCGACACTCGCAAGTCCTGACAACTCTGAGTTTGTGCCGGTTGAAACGGAACACGCGACTCCACCAGCTGTGCATTAATACCCTTGGATGTCCCAACGGAAGCACTGTGCCACTCCCGCAGAGTCATCACTTTTGTCCAAGTTTCTGCTAATTCCTTCACATCGTCCTCCTTCCTCGGTGCATGTGACGAGAGTTCCGAGCGGTGCACATCAACGGTGCACATGTGCCACCCGTCACCCGTCCAGTGGACCTTGAAGAGAACCAAGACACTTGCTCTCGCTGCACCAGCTACTGGAGCGTCCTGCGTATCGCAGCAGTCTTCGGCAAGTGCTTCGCTTCTTCCCGCCCTGCTGCAAATCCTGAGGCGCAGGGCACCAGACCGCTCTACACCTTTCATCACCTTTCTACTCCGCTCCTGCCCACCCCAAAAAAGTCGCGCGGCGGAGGGTTCAAGACATGTCAAGAGTTTCAGGATCCCAGGGCACCAGCCTTCAGCATATTGCTCGCTGGCTGAAAGTTGGTCATTCGCACCGCTTCCAGCGATCGCAGCGAGGCCATGTCATCTAGGATGTTCCACAAAGGATGCAACATTCGAGTATTCACCTTGACGGGATTCTATTGGTCGTCTCAAACACGAGACAAAAATGGCCTAGCAAACTGGCTTGGCATTGGGCCTTGTTCAGCGCATGCATGAAGGCCAGCGCAAAAATCACCATCAACACAACGACAATCAATGTGTACACCTCAGAAGAAACCGCATGGTTGAGGGTGTAATGCTATTCGAACGCGTTTAGGATGCGCGCAGTGCAAGGGCAACATGCAACACCTCTACCAAAGGCAACAAGTACTTGCAAACCAATGCAACTACAAGACGTGATACAAGGAATCCTAGAGTGCAGCTAGCCACAAAATTATTCCGGCTTCGTGTCCCCAATCGTTTGTGTTAGCCGCTAGCCACCTTGACCTCTTAGCATCTGGCCAGGTCAGCTTCGGCATTCCGTCGAACTGACACGTAAGTGTCCATCAAACTGACACTTGTTGGACTACCTGGCCGGCCGCTCGCATGAGACAAGTGTGTCTGTGTCAGGTGTGTCAAGGTTTGTCGCGTTGAGTCTCGCATGACAAAAGCGCTTTAGCCCACTAAACTACATTCAACTTGCCTAGGCCTATTCTGCAAAAACCTTTCAATAGAGGACAGTGTGCGCGTCCCTATCTGGCCACCCCCCTTATGTGTGGAATCATGACCCTGTGCTTCGCCAACCTGTGCAGTCCTCATTGGGATAACATACCTCAGATCAGGCGGAGGGCCTTAATCTTATGGGTGAAACATGCTCACATTGCCTGTGTCAAATTGTCATCTTGGCCAAAGAATCGAAGACTTTGTCGTCGATCGATCTTCTACGACTCCGTCATGATAGCAGTGCTTGAGCTCAGGTGGGATCACAAACTGATATATACGCCATCTTGGTGGAAAAAGAATCCAATATCTTCCAGAATTGACCCAGGCCGTCACAGCCCAGTGACTAATTGAAGCTCATGCGGTTGCTTGGGATCTGCGTCCATCGCCAGTTGCGCAGAAGGAAGCCAAGGCTGGGGGGGTGGAGCACTCGCATGAGCTTGGAGTCCAGTACCTCACCCAGTGAAAGTCCACAGAGGTCATGTCAGGTCATGCAGAGGTGGGATGATGATGTATGCACCGGATATGATGGAACACAACAGCTTTCCCAGCCACAAGCAACCAAAGTGAACAAAACCTGGCCAAGCAACTTCTAACCTTGCATGGGCCGAGCAAACCCATTTGCCTGCCGAGGCCATTTTCCTATCCTTCGCTCGGCTAGAAACGTAACGGACAATTATTCTTGCCACGTCACACATGGTGGATGCCCACCAATTTTACCACATGGGGGAGCGATGCCACCACAAAGTCCTCCACATTAGCACAAAGTGCAGCACATGACCTTGGTGTTGGAGAAGTGGATGTAGAGACAAGGGCCAAATGTTTGGCGTTTTGGGCGTTTTCTGCGGGCCCACGATCATCAACCCGCAGGACCAAACCCAACGGACAATCTCCCTTGGAAAGACAACAGTCATTACGGTCAGAATTATAAATACTATCATCTTCCTGCTGGGTGCTTGTTTAGTGGGATGGCTCTGAGACAAGATCGTCCCCGCAGTGTGCTGAGAATGTCCAAAGTGAGGCCGACAAAATTTGAAAGAGTGAAAGGTCACTCCACTATCCATTTGTAATGTACCACCAAGCTCAAGCAACAAAGGTGGCAAAGTTCTGTCAGGAAGCCCGCTTTGTGTCATGGATGATGCCAAGTGATCCAAGTGCGCAAGGTGTTGATAGTCTCCATGGTCCTTGACTCTTTACTAGAGGACAGCGGCCGACTTATCTACAGTAGATACAAGTATGGAGAGGTGGGCAATAACAAGAATGAGCACAGTACTGCACGAAAGCTAAAAATGTGCGCACATGTAAAACCACATCAAACGGATTCAAACGGCGCTACCTCATGCACTGTCATTCGACCGGTCCTCCCAAGAAGCATCCAAGAGGATCACCACGCCCATGACCCCGAGGACAATGAGACAAACCTTCACAACCACAGGCCCACTCACCTGCGTCAGAGGGACAAAGAAAAAATATGGTAAGAGCCCCAAATATGATGGAACAATCTTCCATTAACAGGATTCAACAGTGCCACTGTCATCTACTTCAAACTGTTCCCTTCACAGCCTTAACACCTGCTGTACCTATTCCCTGACGCAAGCTTCCTCCGAGTCCTGGCGCCTTCTGCACCAAGGAAAAGGATGCCTTGACCCGCTGTACATCTTCTTGACACTTCTGCAAGGCTCGCTTGCCTTCTGGCCTGCGACCGTGGCCAACACTCGAGTAACCATCAAGTGATCATCCAATCCATCTGGATTTGAAGGTCCCTCCTCCTGGGTGGAAGAAAGCATGGGGGTTGGAGCAGAATTAGGACCAAACTCAGGTGACTAATTAGGTGTCTTTGAGGCCTCTTTCTTTGGTTGCCAGTCAACTCTCTTGGCCGGAAAAGTGGCGCATCCCCGGATAAAAGCACACTGTGCGGGCGATCAGTTCACCGCCAACTCCGCCTCACCGCAAACTCATCAATCAGAGATGCAAAGGTGCCATCACAGTTCGTCTCGGGATGCAGGTCCCAGGAAGGTGCGAATGTAGACCTAGCAGGTGCCAACTGGGTGCTCGACTCGCCGAGAACGCTCACATTTTTTGCTCACCAGGTGGCAATCGTGTGAGGGCTGCAGGCTTCAAGCTCATCATAGTGCCATACCTAATGCAAGAGTAAAAAAGAAAAGGGCAGATGAGCCCCTTCAGGATTGTTGGGTTCACTACTTCGTCCACCTACCACGGGCAGCATCTCAGAGGTGTTGACACTCAAGTCTCCATCACCCTATGCTTCACTGGTGTGCACTTGAGGGGCTGCCGGTTGGCAAAGGCAGAGGACGCGGTGACATTGGAACGGAAGACTTTGGACTTCGACATGCCAACCTGACGGAAGACACTGTTGGTCTCCCGCGCCGCTCCGTCGGTCAAATGTCCAGAAAAAAAAAGATGGAACCCACGAACCCGAATGCAAACGCGTTCGAAAAATTAATATGTCCAAATGACACTCTTGTAGGACACTCTTGTGGGACTTTCTTCTAGGACACTCTTGTAGGACACTCTTGTAGGACACTCTTGTAGGACACTCTTGT